CAGCGTCACTTCCAGTTTTCTGGTGATTTATTGCAGTCTCTTGGACTTTCCTGCCCCAGCTGGCTTTGAACCTCAATCCTCAGAACCCAGCCTCCTGAATAGGTGGCGGTTGGCGCTCTGGAGGTGCGCGCCCGCGCGGCTCGCGTCCATCCCGCCCGCGGCCCAGGAGTTAGGCTGGGGGGCGCGTGGAGCCTGGACGGGGAAGGGGGGGGAGGGGGACGAAGAGGGAAAGAAAGGGGGCGCTGGGGCCTGGGCTGGGAAACGGGGGTGGGAGCAACAGGGGCTCTGGGGTCCGGACGGAGGAGGGAGGACCGGGGGCGCTGGGGCCTGGGCCCTGGGTGGGAGGTCAGGGGGCGCTGGGGCCTGGGCGGGGGTGAGTGGGAAAGAAGGGGCGCTGAGCCGGTTACCCGACTCTCCCATGGAAAGCCACTTCCCTTTTCCCGCTATTCTGCACTACTGAGTTAGAGAGTGAGCCACTGTGCCCCTTCCAGCTTTTTCTGTGTATGTGGTACTGAGGAATTGAACCCAGGGCTTCATGCATGCTGGGCAAGCGCTCTACCACCAAGCCACCTTCCCAGCCCTCCTTCTTGTCTTTGTGAAAGGGTTTTATTTCTTGGTTTCCCCACATGCACCTGGAGTGCTGGGGCTGGAATCAGGCCTTGCACAGGCCAGACAGGAGCCCCACCCCTGAGCCCATTCCTCAGCCTATCTCCTTCCCTTTGGATCCTATTGGAATGGCACCACACTCAAGTGGACAAGCGGTGAATTAATTGTGAATAACTGTTTTCCTAACTATAACCTGAACTTGGATCACCCCTTCCCCTCTCCAGGAGTCTTATAAAGTAATTGGGGGAAGGTGAGGTGGAAATGTGTACTAGAATACCCATACTGCAAATCTAATCCACGATTTTAACAGTTTCTAATTCAGAAAAGACTGGTAAGAGCTGATAATGTACTTAGAGTAGAGCACCTGTCTAGCATACTCTAGGGCTTGGGAGAGAGTTCGGGGAAAAGGGTGGGGGGAGAGAGAGGGGAGTAGGAGGAGGGAAGCATCCAGGGTCTGTGAGTCAAACCTGTAATCCTAGCTACTCAGGAGGCTGAGATGTGAGGATTGTGGTCCAAAGCAAGCCCAGGACAGGAAAAGCCTTGAGACTCTTATCTCCAGTTAACCAGCAAAAAACTAGAAGTAGAGCTATAACTCAAGTGGAAGAGCACCAGCCTTGAGCAAAGAAAGCTACAGGACAGCACCCAAGCTGCGCCCATGCACACACAAACACGTATCAATGAGGGCAGTTAAGACTGGGCCTTTAGTAATATCAATACTTAGAAATCGGGAAGAGGAATGGCTTGCGAAGAAGAGAAGGTTGGCAGAGAAGTAGAAGGAAAACCAAGAGTAGCCCAAGGAGAATAATTCAAAGAATAGAGTCATCAGTTATGGTAACCATCTCCCAGAGAAGAGGCAGGGCTTGGCATTAGAGCTGTATATAAACTTGATCATGTTTTTGGAATGAGGGAGGGGTGGACAAGAAGCAGTAAGGTGGCAGCAGGTGTGGACAGGTCATTGGGGAGGTTGGAAGGAGGATGGTGAAGCACAATGGGAGGGTCAGAGGTGGAGTACTTTTGGGAATGACTCAATAGAAAGCAAGAGTTCAGGGCTGGGAATATGGCTTAGTGGTAGAGTGCTTGGCTAGCATGCATGAAGCCTTGGGTTCAATTCCTCAGTACCACATACACAGAGCTGGAAGTGGTGCTGTGGCTCAAAATGGTAGAGTGCAAGCCTTGAGTAAAAAAAGCTCAGGGAGCCAGGCGCCGGTGGCTCATGCCTGTAACCCTAGCTACTCAGTAGGCTGAGATCTGAGGATTGCAGTTCAAAGCCACCCGGGCAGGAGAGACTGTGAGACTCCTATCTCCAATCAACCACTAGAAAATCGGAAATGGTGCTGTATGTAGCTCAAGTGGTAGAGCCCTCGCCTTGAGCTGAAGAGCTAAGGGACACCGCCCAGGTTCAGAGTTCAAGCCCCACAACCGCCAAAAAAAAAAAAAGCTCAGGGACAGTGCCCAGGCCTTGTGTTCAAGCCCTGGGACTGGCAAAAAGAAAAAGCAACAGTTCAGCAGGGTGCTAGTGGCTTACACTTGTAATCTTAGCTACCTAAGAGACTGAGATCTGAGATTCTTGGTTAAACCCATTCAGGCAGGAAAGTCCCTAAGACTCTTCTCTCCAATTAACCACCAAAAGGCTAGAAGTGGAGCTGTGGCTCAAGTAGTAAGTAGAACTTTAGCTCAAGGACTGCACCCAGCTCCTGTGTTCAAGCCCCAGAACTGGCACCAAAAAAAACCCCAAACCTAGGAAGGTCAGTGACTCAGGGAGGAAGGATCTGAAGAGAGCAGCACAGAGGTCTGTGTACAGAGAGACAACTTAAAAAGGGTAGTTTGTAGCCTGAGATCAGGAGCTTCTGAGTAGAAGCAACCACCAAACAGTTCTAGGTAGCCCGTTGCTTAGCAACCTGTATTTAATGTCTCAACTGAATTCCTAATCGGGGACCATTTCAACCTATCTTCACAACTATTCTGAAATCTGGTACTTTCCAACTATGAAACTGGAAAGCTCAGATTTCTACTTTGGACTGCTGTTTATATATACACAAGAGATATGAAAATTACAAGATAGATTTCTGAATTCTCATTACCTAAGAATTAATGCAAAATTAACTTTCAATATCTAATTCAGGGCTCTTTTTTTTTAAACTTATTTTATTAAGATGCTGTACAGAGGGGCTACAGTTACATGAGTAAGGCAATGAGAACATTACTTGACAACCATTGTTACCCCTTTCCTTCCTTGTTGTCTCTTTCCTACCTCGGCTCCCTGGCTCCCCAGGGCTCTTCTTTGATCCTCAACTGCTTTGACTTCTGTACTGTTTCACAGGCATTCCACATGAAGCAGAACTCCTTTTTTTTGGTGCAGGTTTGGGGACTTGAACTCAGGGTCTCATCACTGTCCCTGGGATTTTTTTTTTTTTCGGTCTAGTCGTGGGCCTGAACTCTGGGCCTGGGCGCTGTCCCTCAGCTCTTCAGCTCAAGGCTAGCACTCTACCACTTGAGCCACAGCGCCACTTCTGGCTTTTTT